CCAATCGGTTGTCAGTAACCAACCAAAGTTGTCGCAGGAAAATATTTTTTTTAAATCAAATTTTATAGTATAATTTATTGTTTTTTGTGTGTTTATATATAATTTATGTTTTAGATATAATTTATTTATAGATATAATTTACTTTTATAGATATAATTTTTTTATAGATATAATTTTTTTAATAAGTGATAAATCTTTATTTTTATATTTAGATATAGTTTTTTGTAGATTTAATTTTTTATATTATTAAATATAACTGTGATTATAAAAAATATAATTATAACCCACCGTTTATATTAATTAAAAAAGAACTGCGATTATCAATCTAACCCACCCGTTAATATTACTGTAGATACAAATATTTAATAATTTAAAATATTTAAAATTTTATGCTGATTAATCATAATAAAAATATACAATAACATATTGTTTATCATTTATGAAATATTATCTAAATTTAAATATTTATTCTAAGATATAATAAAAACTGTTTGATAATTAATGTAACCTATATTTGAAGAAATATAAACTTATCTAAACTAAAATTTGAATTTTAAAAATTATTTTTAAATATATATTAAAATATAATATTTTATTAATATTCTACTAAATTGACTTGTTTGGCAATTGGAATAACTATCCAAAAAAGCCTAATATAAAGATGTTTTAAAGATATTATTCTTAAATTCAAAATTAATTTATTTTTGTATATTTATATTTGTTAAAATAAACTGATTTATCATTTAAACAATTTCTAAACGGATATTTTTTTAAAAAAAATAGGATCTTTTTAATGTTATGACTAAAATGGTCTCTGCTTAGTCCAAAATATATATCTCCTTTAATAGTATAGATATAATACTAAGAACAATAAAACAAAACATTGACTTTAGAAATTCTAGACACCTTAGAGCCAAATCGGAAGTCTCTCACAAATCAAACATTATGTACTGTAGGCTCCTATAATTATTATTTTTCAGACTACGTTTTAAAAAAATTATTAGAAATAAATTTACCATTAATTCAAAAGCAATTCTACTATCATTTCAAAAACAGATATACCAAATCCAAATTTACCACCATTAATACTTGCAGAAGGATATGTTGAACCAAAGTCAGAAATCTCGCCGGAGACTCAGCCACCATCACGAAGCCCAAGAACCTATAGACCTGTTTAATTTGTGAGAGACATTCGATTTCGCTCAAGGGTGTCTAGAATTTCTAAAGTCAATGTTTTGTTTTATTGTTCTTAGTATTATATCTATACTATTAAAGGAGATATACATATTTGCACTCAGCAGAGAGCATTTTAGTCATAACATTATGTACTGTAGGCTCCTATAATTATTATTTTTCAGACTACGTTTTAAAAAAAATTATTAGAAATAAATTTACCATTAATTCAAAAGCAATTCTACTATCATTTCAAAAACAGATATACCAAATCCAAATTTACCACCATTAATACTTGCAGAAGGATATGTTGAACCAAAGTCGGAAATCTCGCCGGAGACTCAGCCACCATTCATGAAGCCCAAGAACCTGTCAGAGAAGAAGAAGATTTTTTCTAATAATTCTCCAAATTTAATAATTAATCTACCATGATATCAAATACAAATCTACCATCAATTCATAAATAAATCTATAAAAATATAGTTACATTACTCAAAAAAACATCTGAAAGCAAAAACGTATATCAGTTAGAAACTCTTTCACCATAGCCCATAAACTTGGAGAAAAAGGAAGAATTTCCCTATAAATCATGAAAAAATCAATAATAAATCTACCATCAATTTACAATAAATTTTTTGTCAGTTGAAAATAAATATACACAAAAACAATCTACCATTATTTAAACAGCAAACTGCCACAATCTAAACACTAAATCTACCATCAATAAAAAATTAAAATTTTTAGTTTTTCACCGGAAAAGTTATTATCAGAATTGGTGTGATGTTAACGTCGCTGGGAATAATAAATCATCTAAAAAATCTACTCAAACCAAAT